TATGAGGGGTGTGCCGAAATGGGTGGTGGGGACGCATGCGAACGCAACCACTGGGGCCCCTTCGGTGGAGCTCCCTATGGGGCCACGAAACGTGTGAGGGGTGGGCCGAAATGGGCGAGGGGCGGCATGCCAACTCTGCCACTGGGGCCTTCGGTGGAGCTCATTATGGGGCCACGAAACGTGTCAAGGGTGTGTCGACATGGGTGGCGCGGACGCATGCGAACCCTGCCACTGGGGCCGTCGGTGGAACTCCCAATGGGGCCACGAAACGTGTGAGGGGTGTGCAAAAGTGGGTGGGGGCGGCATGCGAACCCTGCCACGGGGGCCTTCGGTAGAGCACCCTATGGGGCCACGAAATGCGTGAGGGGTGTGCCAAAGTGGGGTGGGGGCGGCATGCGAACCCTGCCACTGGGGCCGTCGGTGGAGCTCCCTATGGGGCCACGAAACGTGTGAGGGGTGTGCCAAAGTGAGATGGGGGCGGCATGCGAACCCTGCCACTGGGGCCTTCGGTGGAGCTCCCTATGAGGCCACGAAACGTGTGAGGGGTGTGCCAAAGTGGGGCGGGGGCGGCATGCGAACCCTGCCACTGGGGCCTTCGGTGGAGCTACCTATGGGGCCACGAAACGTGTGAGGGGTGTGCCAAAGTGAGGTGGGGGCGGCATGCGAACCCTGCCACTGGGGCCTTCGGTGGAGCTACCTATGGGGCCACAAAATGCGTAAGGGGTGTGCCAAAGTGGGGTGGGGGCGGCATGCGAACCCTGCCACTGGGGCCGTCGGTGGAGCTCCCTGTGGGGCCACGGAACGTGTGAGGGGTGTGCCAAAGTGGGGTTGGGGCGGCATGCGAACCCTGCCACTGGGGCCTTCGGTGGAGCTCCCTATGGGGCCACGAAACGTGTGAGGGGTGTGCGGAAATGGGAACGAATGGCGATGGCGATGGCGATGATGATGATGATGATGATGGTGATGATGATGATGATGATGACGATGATGATGCTGGTGGTGATGACGATGATGATGCTGGTGGTGATGATGACAGGATGGTTGGGAACTAATGGCGATGGCGATGACGATGATGATGATGACGATGATGATGATGGTGGTGATGATGACGACGATGATGATGATGAAGATGAGGATGATGATGACGATGAGTATGATGACGGCGATGGGAGGAGGGAGGAGGGGGGAGAGGAGGAGGAGGAGAGGAGAGGAGAGGAGAGGAGACGCGGGGCGCTGTCTCTTCAAAACGAGGACCCAACACCACAGGATGGTTGGGACAAAATAAACGTTTTCTACCACATTCTACAATCCAGAAAAAATGTCCAGGCGGTCTGACGGGCGCGGCCGGCTGATTCACGCGCCGCGCCGCGCGCGATTGGGCGCAGCGCGCGCCGCGCGTTGCGTCCGCGATCAGCACTCGGAGGGGCCACCTCGAAAACAGCGCCATGGCAGCTGCGACTCGCGGACCCCCCAAGAGCAACACAACATGCAGCTTGGAATCTTCGAGGGCGCTCCGATGCGCGAAAAATGCACCGCGAACATCGCGCAAAGAACCTGCGCGACGGAATGCGCTCGACCATTCGTCCCTGGAGCCCGCGCGGAAGAACAGGAAAACCTGGAAATCTGGGAAACTATCAATATCAATACTTCATGCTCCTCTGAGTCCTAGGTCGGCGTGATCTCCCCTCTCCAGGAATTTCAAATTTGGGCCTCCTGATTTGTCGGGGCTCGCCCCTGCCAGGGTTTCGGGTTTGGCCCTGCCCGCTTTCGGGTTTCAAAGAGAATCCATGGATTCAAGCTTCTTCCGTGATCGTAGGAGTAGTAGTAGTAGTAGTAGTCGTCGTCGTCGTCGCCGTAGTAGTAGTAGTCGTAGTAGTAGTAGTAGTAGTAGTAGTAGTAGTAGTAGTACTAGTAGTAGTAGTTGTAGTAGATGTAGTAGATGTAGTAGTCGTTGTAGTAGTCGTAGTAGTAATAGTAGTAGTAGTAGTAGTAGTAGTAGTAGTAGTAGTACAAGTAGTAGTAGTAGTAGTAGTAGTAGTAGTAGTAGTAGAAGTAGAAGTAGTAGTAGTAGTAGTAGTAGTAGTGGTAGTAGTAAGAGTAGTAGCAGTAGTAGCATTAGAAGCAGTAGTAGTAGTAGTAGTAGTAGTAGTAGTAGTAGTAGAGTAGAGTAGAGTAGAGTAGAGTAGAGTAGTAGTAGTAGTTGTCGTATTAGCAGTAGTAGTAGTAGTAGTAGTAGTCGTAGTAGTAGTGGTAGTAGTAGTAGTAGTAGTAGTCGTAGTCGTAGTGGTGGTAGTAGTGGTGGTAGTAGTAGTAGTAGACGTCGTAGTAGTAGTAGTAGTAGTAATAATAATAGTAACTGAAATAATAGTCCTAGTAGTAGTCGTCGACGTCGTCGTCGTCGACGTCGTGATCGTCGTCGTAGCCGTAGTACCTACAAAAATTGTAGGAGTAGTGGGAGAAGTACTAGCAATCGTAGTCGAATTAGACATCGTAGTAGCAGTAGTAGTCGGAGTAATAGCAGTAGTAGTAGTAGTAGTAGTAGTAGTAATAGTCGAAGCAGTAGTTGTCGTAGTCGTAGTAGCAGCAGTAGTAGTAGTAGAAGTAGTAGAACTAGTAGTAGTAGAAGTAGTAGTAGTAGTCGTAGTAGCTGTAATAACAATAGTAAAGGAAACAGTAGTAGTATAAGTAGCAGAAGTAGTCGTAGCACTAGTAGTAGTCGTCGCCGTGGTGAAAGTAGTAAACGAACAAGAAATAGTCGTAGCAATAGTGGTGGCAATCGTAGTAGCAGTCGTAATGTGAAGCATACTAGAAAAAGTAGTGGTATCAGACGTAGTGGTAGTGATAGTGATAGTTGCAGAAGTAGAAGTAGTAGGAGTAGTACTAGTACTAGTAGAAGTAGTAGTAGTAGTAGTAGTAGTAGTAGAAGTAGCAGTCGTAATACTGATGGTAGTCATACTAGCAATAAAAGTCGTATCTGTTGTGGTAGCAGTAGTAGTGGAAGTGACATCAGAAGTAGTAGTAGTAATATTATTAGTAGTAATATTTGTATTCGTAGTAGTAGAAGTCGTAGCCGCAGTAATAGTAGTAGTAGAAGTAGTCGTAGTGGTAGCCGGCGTAGTCATCGTACGGATACGAATAATAAGAATAGTAGTACTGGTCGTAGTAGCACTACTAGTGGTAACTTGACTAGTAGTAGTAGTAGTAGTAGTAGTAGTAGAAGTAGTAGTAGTAGTCGTAGTAGTAGTAGTAGTAGTAATAGTAGTAGTAGTAGTAAGAGTCGTAGTAGTAGTACTATTAGTAATGGGAGTCGTACGATCGTAGAAATAGTAATCATATTAGTCGTACTCATAGTAATTGCCGTACTCATCGACGTAGTCTCTGTCGTCGTAATAATACTAGGGGGTGCTAATAGTAATAATACTACTAACAGTACTAGTCGTAAATTTAGTAATAGCACTAGTGGTAGTCGTAGCCGTAGTCGTCGTAGTAGCGATTGTAGTAAAGGTAAGGATCAGTCGTAGTAGTAGTAGTAGTAGTAGTAGTAGTAGTATGAGTGCCAGCAGTAGTAGTAGTAGTAGTAGTAAAAGTAGTAGTAAAAGTAGTAGTAGTAGTAGTAGTGGTAGTAGTAGTAGTAGTATGAGTAGTAACAGTCACAGTGCTCGTGGTAGCAGTCGTAGACAGAAGAACGAAAAGAGTAGCTGCAGCAATAGTAGTGGTAGTAGTAGTACTAGTAGTAGTCGTAGTATTAGCAGCAGCAGCACCAGTAGTAGTAGTAGTAGTAGTAGTAGTAGTAGTAGTAGCAGTAGTAGTAGTAGTAGTAGTGGTAGTAGTAGTAGTAGTAGTAGTAGTAGTACAAGTGGTAGTAGTAGTGGTATATGTGGTAGTAGTAGTAGTAGTAGTAGTAGTAGTAGTAGTAGTAGTAGTAGTAGTAGGAGTAGTAGTAGTAGTAGAAATAATGATAGTAGTGATAGTAGGAGTAGTAGTAGTAGCAGCAGTAGTAGTAGTAGTAGTAGTAGTAGTAGTAGTGTAATAGTAGTAGCAGTAGGAGTACTACTTGTAGTGGTTAGTACTGGTAGCTGTAGGTGGTAGTGGCACTGGAAATCCTGGTACTAGTAGTAGTACTAGTAGTAATAGTCGTAGTAGTAGTAGTAGTAGTAGTAGTAGTGGTAGTAGTAGTAGTAGTAGTGGCAGCAGTAGTGGCAGCAGTAGTAGTAGTAGTAGTAGTAGTAGTAGTAGTAGAAGTAGTAGTATTAGTCGTAGTAGTAGTAGTAGTAGTAGTAGTAGTACTAGTAGTAGTAGTAGTAGTAGTAGTATTAGTAGTAGTAGTAGTAGTAGTAGTAGTAGTAGTAGTAGTAGTAGTAGTAGTAGCGGTGGCGAAAAAGGATAATAACAACATGTAGGATGTCTAATACGCTGATCCACATCAAAATATGGCAATATTGACTCGTTCTTTCCCTGGCGATCATGAAGTTCGGACTCGCCGCCCCTTCCCCCCGACCTACCCTGTCATGGCCCGGGATCATCAACTCTCAACGGTTAAGGGGGGAATGCTTCATTATCCGTGGCACGGGGTTAGCAACTGGCTGATGTGCAAGTGAGGTTCGCCGTTCTCACCTCCGTCCTGGACAAAACCCAAAGCCTCCGCGGAATGAAGAGGAGGAACGAGCCGTCGTCGTTACCGTCGCCGTCGCCGCCGGTGCCAGCCTCGGCGCCCCCGAACTCGTCTCGAAGACCAATCAACATCGAGTCGGGGAACCGGATCGGATCGAAATCTTCGTCTGATCGAGCTGAATCGGCACGGAACCGAATTCGAACCGGATCGGCTGCGCCAAGATGCACAGCAACGCCGTGTAAACATCACCCGGCCGCATCTGATCGTCGGAACTTCGGTATCGAGCGGGATCGGGCCAACCAAAACCGACATCGCATCCGATCGATCGGGTCACAGAGGACCCTGCGTCCCTGGCCGCGGCAGGAGAGGAAGAGGCCGGGTCCCGCGCCGTGGTCAGCACGCCGCGCTTGTCCTGCAGCAGCGTGGCCTGGCGCCGGGGCGCGGGGCTCGGCCGCCCAGCTGGGGAGCGCGGCAACGGCTGGCTCAGGGCGCGCCACGGGCTCGCGTGCGATGGTTTCGTGATCGTCGACCCCTAGCAAAAGCAACCTGACGGCCCATATTGGACGTAAACTGGCAACTCCATGTCGCATATTCTGCATAACTGTAAGCCATGTCTACATCTCAGAGCGGAGGGGGTGCTGGGAAGGGGCATGACGCTCCTTGACAACAGCCTTGCTCCGACGCGATCGCTGTGGCGATCGCCACAAGCGGAGAATTGGTTCGGGGCCGGATATCGCGCAGAGATGCGAGGCGGGGGTTTGTCCACAACCACTGCCTGTGGAACCCATCTTCGCGGGCCTCGGCGCAAGAAGGGCATGGATGCATTCGGCCCCCCCCCCTGGCAGGGCCCCAGCATCCACCGCCGGCCGAGGCCTCGAATGTCGATTCCACAGGCGGCGGTTGGGGACACGGCCGGGAACGCTTGCTCAGCGTGCCGCGCGGCGGCGGCCCCGGCGGCGCGCCATGCCCTGCGAACTGACAAAGCGTGCAAAAAGTAATACAAAAAAAACACAATAAAATTAAACTATGGGAAAAACTAGTAAAAATAATGTCACAACAGACCTTTACTTTCAATTACTTACCGCTCGTTGAACGCAATTATGGCGTGCCTCGCCGCTCCGCGGCGGGAGGCTCGGAGCGGCTCGGGACCCTGGCGCCCCGGAGGCCGGGCAGCGTGGGCGGCGTGCCGCGCCGAGGCGTGCAGGGCCAGAGCCGGCGGCGCGACACGCCGAGTTCGAGCGCCTGGCCGCACATCGAGGCTCCACCTCGGAGGGCTGGCCTCCTCCCGTCCGCCCCCCCCCCCTCTCTGCGGACTCCCCAGCTGGCCATCGCTCGGACGTCCATGCCCTGTGGGTTTTTTCGGTCTCGTGCGCGGTTTTTTCGCGAAATGATCAAGGATGCTCCTCGAGGGTCCTCGCCGAAGGAAAACTGCACACGTCCGAGCGATGCCGAGCCAGAGCCCCTCGCGGCGTGGAGCCGTCGCGTCGGCTTCGCTTCTCAGCGCTCTGCATCTCGAGGCCGTCGCACCAGCCGCTCGGGGCCGGGCCGCCGCGGAGCTCCTCGAGGACAGGCAACCAGTTCCGGGGGAGGGGTTCTGCAGGGAGCCATGCTGCGGACATCATCTTCCTCCTGGCGCGCAGCTTGGCGCCGCCCAGCTTGCTCGTCAGCTGGTAGACGGTGCTCGCCACACCTCGGCACGCACCTGTGGCAGCACCAGGACCCTTTCCGCCTCGCGGATTCCACCAGGGGGGTGTGCCACAAACTAACGGTCACAAAGGGTCACAACTACAGGTTAAGGTGGTCATGAAGGTGGGAGGGCTACCCTCCTCCTCCTGCTCCTCCTCCTCCTCCTCCTCCTCCTTCTCTTCCTTGGTGTTTCGAGCTGCGGGCCTTTGTCTCCAAGAATGGGCGCGGCCCTTGCGGCCCTCCGCTGGGTTGCGCCCAGAGGGCAAGAAAATCAAGAGTTGGAGCAAGAGAAGGAGAAACAACAAGACGACGAACGTGATGATAAACACCCGATATGGCGACTTCTCGTTTGCCCTGACATTTTGTATGTATCCCCAACTTTCCCCGGCACGGGGGGAAAACCCAGCAACAACTCCGTCAATGGCGCACTTACACCTGGGTCACCTCCAGTCAGGGCATCTCGGAGCCAAGGCGACCTAGGCCTGAGCACCGCGCGGATCACGTCTTGGAACCCAAAGTTGTGAGAACGCCTGAAGCGAAACGGGTCAGAACACCTCAATCCATCGCATCTCGCAGTAGCCCGTGATTCGGAGGATGTCTCAGGCGAAACGGGCCTGAGTACCTCGCGAACCACATCTTGGAATCCACAGTTGTGAGGATGTCCCCAGAGCATCTCGCGCGCCGCATCGTGGAACCCAGAGGTGCGAGTTGCGAGGATGTGTGTCTCAAGCCAAGCGGGCCAGAGAACCTGCAGTCAAGGCACCTCGAAGCCCAGAATTCCGAGGATGTCACAAACGAAAAGGGCCTGAGCACATCGTCAACCGCATCTTCAACCAAGAGTTGCAAGGACGTCTCGGGCCAAAGGGTGAGAGCCAAGGATTCCGAGTATGTCTCAGGCGAAACGTGCCTGAGTACCTGGCGAACCACATCTTGGAATCCAGAGTGATGAGGACGTCTCAAGCGAAACTGGCCAGAGCACGTCAATTCAAGGCATCTCGAAGCTTGGGGTTCCGACGATATCACAGGCGAACAACGTAATGAGGATGTCTAAGGTGAAATGGGACTGAGCGTCTCAAGTCAGGGCGTCTCGAAACCTGGGGTTCCGAGGATGTCTCACGCGAAACGGGCCTGAGCACCTCGTGAACCGCATCTCCAACCCAGAGTTGCGACAGGGATTCGGAGGATGTCTCAGGCGAAACGGGCCTGAGTACCTCGCGAACCATATCTTGGAATCCAGAGTGCTGCAAGCGTCTCAAGATGAAAAGGCCAGAACACCTCAATTCAGGGCATCTCGAAACCTGGGGTTCCGAGGATGTCTCAGGCAAAACGGGCCTGAGTATCTTGCGAACAACATCTTGGAATCCAGACAAGGGAAGGCGACTCAAACGAAACGAGCCAGAGCACATCCAGTCAGGGCATCTCGGAGCCAGAGGTTCCGAGGATGGTGCTATGTGGGCCAAGGGGCGCACCCAACTTGTTTAAAGGAAACCCCTCCCCAACACCTCCCCAGCACCGCCGTTAAAACTGCCGGGGTCGCCCGGAGCTGTCCAGGGCGACTCGGACACCCAGGCTCAGGTGCACTGCCCTCCACCGCCAGCCATGGCAAGCCCTGGATGGGGCCCAAAAACAGCCCCAAAAGCTGACCGAAATTGCCAGCGAGGACCCATACGGCTCCGAAACCCACCTCCACTCCATAATACCCCACAAGATGGACGCGAACGGGCCCGTGATATACCCTTCGTCGGCAGCGCACCAGCCCGCATCACCAGGCACGATCGAGCCGCGTCCAGCACTGGCGACGAGATGTGTTCCGAGAGCATTGAAAAGAAGTGACAGCAATACGAGCATGATCCTGCCTCCCCTCGTCCTCAGTCATCCTGCTACTCCTCCTCCTCCTCCCCTTCCCCCTCCTTCTTCGCTTCGCACTCCTCAACAACGGTTGCTCGGAATTGCGGGGACGTCTCATGCGAAACTCGCTGGACCCCCTCGCACGCGACATCTCTTTATCCAGAATTGCGGAACGTCTCAGGCAAAACTGACCGCACCACCTCGCTGGCAGCATATTTAAGCCTAGCGTAGCGAGGATGTCTCAAGCGGAACGGGCGAGGCAGCTTCAGGTCATGGTATCCCCGAACCAGAAAGCTTTGACTATGATTCAAGCGAGATGGGCTGGACCACCCATCGGGTAGCGTCTGGGAGCCCAAAGCTGGGAAAATGTCTCAAGCAAAACGGGCCGGACCACGTGCAATCCGGTTGTCTCAGGACGCGGACATGTGAGGATGCCTTTGAGAAGTGGGCCGAACCACTTCAACATGTTGCCAATGTCTCGTCGCGCGGGCCCCTCGGGCGGCATTCGTTCTTACCGCACCAATGCCCCCTTGGCACCGACAGGGCGACCCGAGAACACTGCAAAACAACACCGCTTGACCGGAAACCATCGAAAAGCTCCCATGGGCGGCAATGCGCCTGAGCGGAGGGAAGGCAAAACTGTCCGTGGCGGCCAGGTGCGCGTACAGGTGGGGCCCGAGCGTGGGTCCCGGGGGAGGAGCTGAGACCCACCTCCTCCTCCTCCTCCTCCTCCTCCTCCTTTTTACGCTACACCGACATTAGGAGCGAGCCTGTTCGTTTGTGAAGTGCAGCATGACAAAAAAAATGCGACTCGGGTGAACAATGTACCTAGCGGGCGCCGCAGAAAATGAGATACATAGAGACAAAGCCAAGTGCAGTATGAAGAGTAGGCGCCCGCCATGTCTTCGAGGTAGGCACTAACCTTAGTAACCAAGTGCCCCAAGTAGATTAGCGTACCCCCCAGTAATCCGAAGGTAATGCCCCTCGGGTGGCAAGTAACAGAAACAAAGCGCAAGAAGCTGCGCCAAGATGTTGTAAGGTACTTGCTGCCTCATTGCGGTCTGCAGCCAAGCTTAACTGAGTCTGAAAAAGAAGAGCGTGTGCGGGTGGCTGGCACAGGTCTTGCTGGCTGGCCAAGATCTGGCACTGCACGGGCTGCCTGGCATAAAGGTGTTGCAATCTTAGGGTTGCTACGCTGGTGCAAGCATCGCCAGTAGTAGTAGTAGTAGTAGTAGTAGTAGTAGTAGTAGCAGCATCCCCAACCCTATGCTGAGGGAGCTGCTAGTACACTGGGGCTGTGAGCATACAGCCACCGATGTGTACACATAGATTCCCTGTGGGATCTGAAAAATTGCGCATTGCCACCAAAGTACTGCTGCCTGGCTGTGTCCGAGGCTGCAGCGTCGCCATAGTACAAGCCTTGAGTGTCTAGCTGTAGGTACAAACAGCAGTACGAAAGGCTGTGTGAGATGCTGTGCAGGGCTGCTGTTGGCTGCGCGATCCAGGAACATATCGACGGACTTATTCTCCCTCTCGCTAAACTCTTTACTCGGGGTCAGGTCCATCCCAAACAGAATAACTGATGGAGCTGGCTTGTGCCCCTGGCGCGGCACCCTCGGGCGAGCCCCCTCGTATGCTGGAGGCGAGCAGGGGCTGGCCCCTGTAGTAGATGCCCTCGTCGGCGTCCTCGTCCTCCTCCTCCTCCTCCTCCTCGTCTGCCTCTGCTGCATCTGCGTCTACTTCTGTCTCCTCCTCCTCTACCTCTTCTGCCTCCTCCTCCTCGTCTGCCTCTGCTGCATCAGCTTGGCCGCTGCTGGTGGGCGGCGTCATCGCCGTATTGCTGCGTACACGTCGGTGCATCGTGCTGGATGGAAATCCACTAGGATCTCGCAC